CAAGGAGTCCAGATTGCTCGTTTAGAAGCGCAATAGCCACAATGTGACCAAGGTTTGCTTCGCGGGCACTTTCTCGAGCCCCAGTTCAAAATTCAGAAAGAGTGCCGCCTCTGCTATGAGCAGCAATGGGTTGGGATGATCCGTATCACACCCAATATACCTTTGTTATCTGAAGCAATAGATGTTGCCAAAGCGATCTCGGGACTTTATTTGTGCTCAAGATGAAAACACAACTCGTCTCATCCGTCTACAAGCTATACGAGCCAGCACCAGCAAAGCGGACGTCGGGGCGAAAAGCCATCATGACAAGATATTGTTGTCTTCAGCCCCTCTCACCTTCATGGAACAGCTGTAGCAGCAACCGTCCAAGCTTTACCCTCTCATTGTCTTTTCGTCCCACTAGCCTGCAACTGGCAAGCCTGTCTTTTCTTTAAAAAGGTGAAGGCCAGGTCATAAGTGGTTGCGACATCAGGCTAGCCAAATTGAGATGTAAAATTCTTACAAACTTTTCAAATTAAGGTGTTTATCCACTCAAACAAAATCTGAAAACAGCCATGGCGTACAAGCCGGTCCGTATAATGATCTAAATTAAAGAAAACCATCCTTTGCTCACCAACCGGTTTCGGCGAAGTACGCCCCCCGCGCGACTAGCTCTCTTGAGCTTCTTGAGCTCTCTCGGTCGTGGCAGAACGTTGACAGTTTCCACGTGTGTCCGAATGAAACTGAGCCAGATCTCGGATTTGCGCTCTAAGCGTCATTATCGAAATACGAGGCTAAAGGCTCCTAAGCTATCTGAAAGTGCCGCTGTTTTGGGGTAGTTGATAGCTCAAGTACCTAGAATTGTCGAGACGCTGCTTTGTCAACAACACATCTGGTCATGCCCGAATGACTCGTTAGCGCGAGAAAGTTATGACATCAGTACATCCGCTGCAGCGGGGCTGCCATAGCTCTTTCGCTTCGGAAAGCTAGGCTTAGGTCGGTGACCTTCGTTCTATCCTTAGACGCAATCCGCTTACTCCAAGAGTACCCACGACCCCTACTTAAGGCAAATAAACTCTTTCGTTCAAAATGTAACTGTATTTTCTGGATTGATTTGCGTAAAGCCGCCTATATCTAAATTTATAGGCTTTCCTAATCAAATAGGAAAATCTAATTCGACTGGGTAACTACCCGATATGGTCAAACCAACTTGTATGACCCACCCCTTCATACCAGGGTACGTGTAGCCCCGTTACACCAGCATCAAACACTATGAGATTTTGCATTCTCTTTTCAGGACAATCAAAGAACGCTGTAAATACTATTATGCTACGACTGTGAACGGTCTAATCTTGCGCATTCGCAACTAAGTCTTTCGGACTGCAGACAATGTATGAATAAGTAGATTCGTTTCGTTCACGTCAACCCGTTACCCCACAACACATTCGTGTGTTTCTGTTGTACCAGGTCAAGGACATTAAATAAAATGCAGCCAACGATGCAGTTATGCCGTACAGCCCTCTTAGCGAACGGTTTCTTGGCCGGATTCGCTGTTGCATTTAGCTTATACTAGCAAGCACGATTAACCATTTGACGTTTAAAGATATGCTCTCTACAGACCCGCTACGTGCTTCGCGCGGAAAAAACTTCGATGACGTGACACTGCTCCCATGATATGAGCCATTTGCCGTGTGACGAAACATTTGGTTCCGAGAACCATTCTTTGCACGGAAGTAGATCGCGCGGTGGATCTCTTGTAATAAGCCGTAGTTATCTTCGAACAAAGGTATCATGGTTCTGTAAGACTTTTAAGGATAACCGTCCCATTTCTTGTACTGCGTCCTCGCAGTTTCCTTAGTAATTATAACCATTCCATGACCAATGACGAGCTCAGCCCCTCCTTCGGAACTCACAGTACCATCTCGGTGGCCTCACCATCCCACAACTCTCTGCCCATATCCCCGAGCAATATTACCTCCTTTCAACGAGAAATATTTACCGGGGGTAGTAAGAGAGGTTGTATAACTTCTAAGGCTACGCTAGTCATTTGATTACAAGCGAATAATCTTTTGCAACACATATCCCTTGGGCTTCTCTTGTCCACACGGTAAATACGTTATAAGGAAGAGCAGACACACAATTTCCGTCACGTCACGACAAAGATGTGCCATGTTTATTCCCAAAGATCCATCCCGTCAACCCGTGACCTAGAGTCGCCCTTAAGTAAATCGGTGCTGGCACAAACCCAACAGCTCTCAGCTGTTGTACCACTCGACCAGAAACACACATGGCTTACAGTCGTCATTTCCATTACAACAGGAATCATAACCAAAATATACACACGCTCTCTCTAGTAAAGTTTACTAGACAGCGACTCACGGCCACTTCTGCCTTACGAATTCTTCGTGAAGCACCTAAAAATACAATCTACAAACAATGTCGAACAATCTGACGCCGTTCACAGATGCCACCGCAGCTTTATGTACGCGCCACAAGCATCTTTTCTGTTTAATTCATTACTCACGAGAAGAGAAGTGCGTGGTACGACTTGCAGTCGACCCATGGCGCAAGGTGCTCTAGCCCCATCGTACCTAAGTCAAGACAGCTTCGCAATGCTCTCAAACCTCGGTCAAAGGCTAAAAATAGCTTACGATACCATTATCATTGACCCTATCGCAAGTAAAGCACGGAATCACGTATTGGTTTGTATCTTCAATGTTTCCGTGCAGTGTATTTTGTTCTCGACTGTTGCTCGTCGTTCGTCATTGCAAGACGCTTCTGAATTTATAAGGAAGTTTCATGGCAAAATAAAGCCCGACATGCTAATACTGTAGTCTTCAATCCTGGGCCGATAGCTCCACTCTCTTATATTGTGGCTCAAACTTTGAGGTCTGAGTCCCACGATCCGCGACCCCACAACTTTTATAAGAGCCCATTTAATCCCTGGGCGCTGTCCTGCTTCTACAAATCTAAATAATTTTCACGAATGGTTTATCTGCCGCCCTTGCTTGGAAGCATGATTTTTCTGCGAGTCTTCAAAGCAGCTCAGCAACGAAGGAATCCTTCTTTACCTCTACATGACTGCGAGCCATCGTCTATAGCGCGCTCATAAAAGTGTACCCCATCCGGACTTTGCGACACAAAGTTGTACTCTGCTATCAATGCATCAGCCACCGCTTCCTCAGGAAAGAAATGGTGCACGCGTACATTCTTGGTTTGACTTGCACCGGTTCAGAAACCCTATGTGTTGATGATATTGGTAAACGCCTACGGGGAGGGTCTGGAACAATTGCGGCGATAACATTTCTATTTCTGGACAGTCTGCCAGTTCTTGTCTCCTTTGATGTTGGGAAATTTTCCGATAACCCTCAATACGTCTGGTTTGCCAGTACAGACACCTAGAACATCTGCCTCTTCCCAAAATGGAGATATCTGTTGTATCAAATAGCGCACGTGATCACACATTTCCCTAAGCTTGACGGAAAGCGCGATGTACCGTATCTTTCTTTGGGTATGGCTAAATTCATGGTCACCTCCACTTTCCTCCTCCACTCAAAGAGATGGTCCCTGTCCCGCCTTTGAGGGCTAGGATGCTAAAGATCACCACACACGTGGTGGATACCATGGTTTCCAATCGTCGCCCGATTGGGGCGCCATAGATATGTCTTGTATAAGATCGTACTTATACAGGATCATTTCTATATTACCTTCTTTTCTACCTGACTTTCCTAGATATGTCTTTTGAGCGCTTCCACGCGGGTTACGGTTCTTTAACCGCCAGTGTTATCATTGCATCAAAATTAAAAAACTATCATTATTTTTATATAAAATTTTATATATTTTAATTAAAATATAATTTTTTCGAAAAAAAGTGCCTGTACTCGGCGTACATTAGCATAGTTCCCGAGTACAGGCACTTGGGTAGTTCATATTCCGTCCATACAAAAAAAAACAATTTTCTCACGACTTGGTCTTACGACTGGCTACAGCATCACCAAGTGCACCGTCCGCATTTATAAACGCACGGTGGTTGGGGTCGTACGATAGTTGTAAAAGCGGAATTGTGTCCTCTATCGTAATCAGATGAAAAGTTATCTCTGGTATTTTCACGATTACATATATGATTAACTAAACATATACTTCTTAACTATCATCGTCAGAAGTACTGATACATCGTTACTTATGAATATAACTAGAGTGCAATGTAGATTTCTAAAACTTTATGGTATCAAATTTAATGAAATTGTTAAATTTGTAAGACAAGATTATAATACTTATCCCGTTACGAAACGGTAGCTATGTGGCGTATGCCACTATAAGGTACAGACCGGTGTTATAATAAGCTCATGGCCGTTTTTATATACATAAACAAATTTATGTAATCTTTGAGGTACAATCATTATTTTAGCATTCGGATAGATTTAAAAAAAATCTGACTAGAAAATAATAACACATCATGAAGCATAAAAAGAAATGACTCACTTGACATAGTAACCGCATAATCTTCTAGCTTGCAAATCAGGAACCAAACTAAATTATTTATTATAGCCGATTCTTAATTTTTTGAATGGACAACAAAACAGCTCATACCCTTACCCCCTGATCAGAAAATACATGATACCCAATTAGTGTCAGCCGGTGTATTCAGATTAGTAAATTGTGTCGCACCAATCACCAGAGTGCCGTGCGAAACGAACGCTCTAGCCGCGGAAGAGAGAAAATACATGGACCACTGGTATCGTTGGCTAATTAAGCGACAGATTTCGATGGCACACCATCGCTTAGACGTGACGCAAGTTATAGACACTAGTGCAACGTTAGCGCAGGTACTTATTAAATATTTATGCAACGTTTGGGTTGTATTCACATGTTAAAACACTCAAATAAATTTTATATTTCTGTATTGGTACGATAGTTATTTGAACACGACAACGGCTTGAATAGATAGCTCAATTGCTCAAAGCCATAGAGTAATGTGGGCAGAAATGGCATCTAACTGGACACAGCTTGATGTTTTCCTTTCAATCTGTTGACGCTTCAACAATACAATCGACTTGCACCGCGACTTTGCGCTCATGTGCCGCGCGATGAAAAGCACCAATGATTGCATAATAGTTCAGCTGTTTTCTTCGGCAAGGCTTCCGAGCACGTTCAATGGCACGGCGACAGTTCTCCAGCTCCGACTTGATACAGCTACTGACAGCAAGCAGCGCGTTGGATGTTTTTAGTGGAGATGTTGTAAGAGGTTTGGCAACGGCGACATCCGCGTCATCATCAAAAGACGCATAGTCAAAGCGAGCGCGCTTATTTGTGCCACGACCATGAGCCGGCGATACAGCAGGTGTAGGAGGCGCAAAGCTCTCCAAATCGCGCTTCAACGATACCTTCAGTGCCGTCAGTGCAAGCGACAGGTTTACGCCTTCTGAAGACGAAACAGTACCAGGTGCATTGGACGGGGCTTGCGCAGTGGTCACAGGTGTGCGAAACGATCCGCAAGTTGGCACACGCGAAGCTCTAGGCGATGAAACGCTAAATAGACCCTTGCGCTTCTTAGTACCCTGATTAATAAGCATTGCGTCCACCTGCACTTCCATAACGTAATCGCTGATTTATAAGTGCTCAACAAACGCAGCAGGAAGAAAAGCTGTAGTAATAAAAGAAGCTGAAATTAAATCGTTCACAAGGCTAGTGTTAGCTTCGAACACGTCGAGCAAATTCTGTCACTTCTTATTAACTAATTGCCGCCAGACAAGTACTTGCGTCCAAGGGCGCAAATTCAGCAATGGTTGAGCCATCGGTAGAAGGAAAGTGAGAGTAGAGATGCGAGAAAATCGAAACGCAGCCCACCCAGAAAACCCGCCCGAGTTGATTGGACAAAAACCAAAAATTGTGCAGATTTTGTAACAAATACTTTCAGCGAATCGTACACTGGCCTCAAGCGAGGACGAGAGGAAGAAATTGCCAGACATCAATTTGGGCTGTCTACATCAAAATCAATCTCCGTTGTACGCTCTGAATAGACTCGAACAAGATTGAGGCGTATCTGGTGTAGAGCCACTACTACCATGTTATGCAGACCACTACTCCATAAACTGCACCTCGCTGAATCGACTCTTGACATGTCCTTTACGCTGATATATCGACAAATGTTGAGAAGCCATATGCTAGATATTTAATCATGTGGAGAATTTCCGCTAAACATGTAAAAAATGGTCAAGTCGCATAAAAAAAGAAATGCATTAGTGCAATGTTGATGTGAATTTTCAATTGTTGGAAAATCTCATAGCTGATTCATACTAAATTCAAGTAAGACGGCAACTTGAAGCGAAGATTCAGTCAGACGTCGGAATCGCTTGATAACTGAACGTGCCACGTACACTGGGCTTCTCAATCTTTGATTCCCACAATAATGAGCGAGAAAGATGCAGCAAGCAACAAACGTAAGAATGAATGCTGATAATCTCCTTTATTACCCCGACTTATCCAGTTCTATGTGTCCCTGTAGCCACGTCAGGTGTCGTGTCATTCGTAACCGGCGGATTTGGCGGTACAACTTGCACGAATTTTATCGTCATGGTATCGAATGCCTGAAAAGTCACGTATTGATGATGCAGGCATGTGTCTAGTAGCAACAGGTCATCCTTTGGACCTGATTAAGGTCAACATGCAGACGCAGCCAAAGGCGCTGCCCGGTCAACCACCTATGTACTCGAATGCAGTCGATTGCGCTCGCAAGATGGTTGCCAAAGATGGGGTACAAGCTTCTCTTTCAGCAAAAGTGATCGAGATGTTATTTAATTTAGTGTATCATCACCGATGTAGTTCCGCGGCTTGTACCGCGGTATGTCAGCACCCCTAGCGGGTGTCTCTCCTATTTTTGCTACGTGCTTTTGGGGATACGATATGGGCAAGCTTATTGCGGTGCGTGCATACCTTAATCATGCTTTGTTATTCTACATTTTGCTACGTTCTGTTAATACTGATCGCAATGCCACCTTAGATCAAGGCTTCCGGACAGTCGCCTACAGCACCACTTTCTATGGGTCAGATCATGTTCGCCGGTGGATTTTCAGCTATTCCTGCGACTGTAGTTATGGCTCCAGGCGAACGCATCAAGTGTTTGCTTCAGATTCAGGCACAAGCCATCGAGCGAGGGGAGCCGAAGCTATATGACGGTATGATCGACTGTGCGAAGAAATTGTATCGCACTGGTGGATTATCTAGTATCTTTCGAGGTTGGGAAGCTACTCTGCTACGCGATATCCCAGGGTAAGTGTCTTTTTTATAATCGCAATGTGTTGCTGCTGACAATGCTCTTTGTAGCTCTGTGGGCTACTTTGGAGGATTTGAGGCAATCAAGCGTGGGTTAACGCCCCACGGCAAAGATCCGAGTGATTTGAATGCGTTCCGTGTGTTTGTTGCAGGAGGTTTTGCTGGTATCATCAACTGGGTCATTGCTATTCCACCTGATGTGATTAAATCGCGCATTCAAACTGCTCCTGAGGGCACTTACCGCGGTATCATGCACTGTTTCCAAGTACTTATGAAAGAAGAGGGACCAGGTGCGCTTTTCAACGGTGTTGGACCTGCCATGGCACGGGCGTTTCCGGCTAATGCTGCGTGTTTTCTCGGCGTCGAGTTTTCTAAGAAGTTCCTAAACTATTTTGGCTTCTATTAGTAACGTTAACCAGTTGATAAACACAGGCATGATTGCAACCAAAGAGCTACATTTATAACTACCACAGCTTACTTTAGAAGACTTTTCCGAGAAAAGGCATCGTTTATTTCGGCGCGCGGCTCGTCTGTTCCACGGTAAAGTGTGTTGCTGTACAGCTCGACGACATCGCTGTCGCACGCAAAGCAATTAAAATATTAAGTTGAAATTGAAGAGTCAAACGAGTACACCGTACGAGATGTGTCTGAGTTTCACTTTGGCATTCGCGATAGCTTTTTCCTGCTCCTCCAGTGAGGTATCGGTACCAGATAAAGAGCTCAAGAGCTCTAACGCCTCGGTATACTTTTGCTTCACCGACACCGCCTGCTCTCAGTTTAGCGCGTTGAATCTAGCAATTAGGGGTGAAGCTGATGAATTCGATACTTACTGAGGCCGAGACGTCTCCAATGCGCACGGTCTCGTGAGTAGAGCTGGCCGATAGCACGTCCTTTAGCACGTCAATGAGGTTTGGCAAGACGTCAAACGTCTGGATAGATGGGTACAGCACGATAACGCATTAATTCGCAATGTTCACAGCAGCGAAATGAACCGTTAGATGCAGAACCTCATGTAGCTTGGCTTTGGATATGGAGGTGTCCGCGTCAGGCGACTCCATTGTCTTAGGTACGAAATAGAGTGTAGTTTTGGCAATGATAAACATATAGTGGGACAAGCATCCTCGGTAGGAATTTATTCCTTTTAAGCAATCAAACTAAGTAAAGCTGACACTTATTCCTTCTTAGAGACAGGGTCGGCGGCCTTTTTCGTCTTGCGGTCGCGAGACGCTTTCGCCTTCTCCTTGCGGGCCTCTGATTGCTCCTTCAGCGTCTTCTCGCGATGGCGTTCAGCCTTCATTTTGTGGATTGTCTCCATCAACACACGCTTGTTCTTAAACTGGTTACCCTTGCTACGCATGTATAACTCGTGGTAGATGTGCTTGTCAATCTTTTTGGCCTCGCGATACTTGCGGAGTAGACGACGAAGGACACGAATACGACGCATCCAAATCACCTTGAAAGGTAGACGCGCATTTGCCGTACCACGACGCTTACCGATGCCCGTGTGGCGACCCTTGCGCTTTGCTTCGTTACGTTTAGCGAAGCGAGCTCGCGAATGGATCACCTGCGGCTTTTTGATGACAAAACCATCCTTAACAAGCTTGCGAATATTCTGACGCGAATTCGCTAGCGCAATCTCATTCGACTCGTTAGGGTCGAGCCAGATCTTACGCTTGCCGCACTTGAGTACAGATGCAGCTAGACTAAAGCAGCGAATTTAATGAGTCAGTAGGGCTTCAGGTAATGTTCATTCAATCTATTACGCACCGCTTCTGCAATTTCAGGGACACCATATTCTTGTCTTCAAACTTGTCCCAAAGAGTAAATGGTCTTTGATGAAGGGGCTGTGAATGGATGGCAACCCGCAATGACACAAAATATGGAATTTAAAGGACCTGGATAGCGAGATGAAGTATAGTACACTAAATTAGATACATAAAAAAAATATATATGCCGAAAGCACACTACAGGTAATATAAAATTCAGGACGAAAAGCTTATAAGCGTTAACTAAAATTTTCAATGTAGCCCAGTTTGTAATGCGTACAAACCTTTTCATGTTCTGTACAATTGTATTAGACACAATAAGCGTCAATTAAACCAAATTTACATCCCATTCATAATACCGAAATATAATAATTTATAGACGATGGATCTTGTAAGGAGAGGCTCGTGGCTGCCTACTATCAGGGGCAGTTCTATCATGAGACTTAGCAAAAGCTGAAGTTTGATAATACACAAAGTCTATTTATACTTTCGAAAAGCAACAAAATCAACAGTCTAAGTTTCCTTTGAGGCCTTCCATTCCGCTCCTAATGAGAGCGCACAAAACCAATCCTTGTCAATTCTAGGGATCAAAGTTCTGTGTGCAGAGCGCACGGCAATCCTGTTGCACTTAATGACTCGGACTCAACCCCACGAAAGTGTAATCAAGGGACTGTATCTATCGCAAGGATGAAAAGGGAATTATACAAGGCCACAAAGACCAGCTTAGTAAGATTATTTTGATTAAATCGGTGACCGACAACCAAAAGATTTCGCTCGCCTAATGGTGCTCTCCGGGATTCAAGAGCGCCCCAACCAGAGACCAATGAAAGCGCAGATGCCCTTGACGTATGAAAGCTGATGCTGGTCATCCAGGCATTTAAGAGCCGGGATGCAGCGGGGCATCCGTAGCTTTGCGCTTGAGGAAGCATAATTTAGGTCACCGACCTTTCGTTCTATAAGTAGTACAAGTACGAGTTTAGCGGGTCGCAATTCGCGACCTCCAAGAGTACTAGAGCCTTACCCCAAGGCTAATAGACTCTACAGTTTAATGTAAACTGCATTTATTTGTTCTATCTGCGGCAAAGCCGCCTTATTTTGAATGTTTAGATTTTCCTAAATATATCTATTAAAATCTGAATACATGCATAACTACTGGCTACCTAGCCACATACCGTATTCTTGTTTCGGTGCAGTCACACCATGCCCATCTCGTGTGACACACACCCCTGTTACCAGGGTGCGTGTAACCCCGTTACATGGGACTGATAGAATTTGTTCTTCCGGATGATGATGGGATACAAAACTGAATTTTTGCCGGACAGGTATGCGACGTCACAAAATTACGGCTACGTTCATGTTCAATAATTACAGGTGTATGTTGGTAATTGATTGCGGATGCAATGGCTGTCGCTGATAGGCTATGGAAAATATAAATCTAGTTCAGTATTACATGATAAGCTCGGAGGTAGCAAGTAGTTTTGCGAGCTAAGGACCTTGCGCTCGAGTACGCACAGCTCAACATATTAAATGCCAGCCAAGTCTCGCCCCATATCATCCAGACGATGGAAATTCCTTCTTGAGATCATCACTTTCTTTCACTGGGAGGGTATCATGTGAAAGGAGCTGGCGAAAAAGGGTCTGCCAGTAATCTCTGAGTCTTGGAATAGCACGAAAACGCAGTTTCTCAACGGCAGGAAGGCGCTGTGGATAATCGACCTCGGGTTTCATTGGAGCTTCAGACAGCGAATTGCTCGGCTCACAGTACAGACTACGCTGCGAGAATTTCTCAACTGGATGTTTTTTTACAGTTGTGTGACACTTCAGCGGCTGCACAAGTTCAAGTGTGGATTCGGCTATTCGATGGCCAATAATCTAGTATACGATCAGCTAGTGGTTAGGTTGTGGACGCTACAAAATACCGTTGATGACACCCTGCATTTTGTGGCCCTACTGAGCCATTTTTAGCGGCGTATGAGCTGATCTCGTTAATCGTAAAAACGTCACCTTCATTGAGATGAAGTCGAAACTTGTGAAAGAACACAAACGACCCAAGAAGGTCAGCAAAGCAATCAAGAAGAGGCTAGTCTTGTGGGGTATGCTGGGATTGATATCGAGTAGGAACTCTGACACTCTCTATTGGATAGGCCTGGTCACAATGCGCTATGCGCGAAATCCCAGCGGGGAGGCCTGAGTGTGTGAAGTGCTGCGCGGTGGATACCTGAGGGGTAAGTAGACAAACGATTTGATTACGTCTCGATTGCTTACGAACACATGACGTGATGAGGCCGATGATTGTGATCTCAACGGTTGGTGCAAGGTATGTGCTGACGTTCTTGGATAAATTTCACGGTATAAAATGGCGTATTTTCAAGGAACATAAACGGGAGGTGGCTACCAAGCTGGATAAGCGTAAGTTTTTCTGCAAAAATCAATTGAGTCGACATTTTTAGTAATTACGATCGGATAACGGACGAAAGTTCCCGAACAGGGAGATGGCCAAATCTGTGCAAGGAACGACATCATGCATCAGCGCACCGCGATGTACAATCTGCAATAAGACTCATCGGCGGAGCGAAAAAATTGCGCAGAGTATGCTGCCCTACAAGAGCAGATCTTCTACTCATCGACGCTTGAGGAATACGGCGAGCTCAAATATCACACCGTCTGGGCTGGGCTTCAGGAACAAGCTGAAGCTAGGACGTCTACTCGTTCTTGAATTTCAATTATACATTCATGTTGGTGAATATGCAGAAAATACTTTAGGTATCGCGTTTTTTTACAAAAACTATCGATTGGCCAAGGTGAGACGGTCCATACAGCTCGATAAGCGCGATGTGGGCGGCAAATACACCACAAATTCATCACAGCATGGGCGATCATTTACGTGACCACGGATGAGACTATCACGAATATGAAGATTAGCAGTCATAACCAACTTGTTACAGACAAATCCATCGAAGGCGACAAGAATCAGCCCCAAACATCGAGACTAAGACCAAAACCAGATGGAAAGTCCCACTGCTCCAACTGCCATATCCTCTATGTCCGACAACAGCATGGCGCCTTACCACGCTTCATCCCAAGATATAGGCTAGTGTTTAACGTGAAGCCAGGTTGAACAAGTCGATCGGAAGAGCTTGTGTTCCGTCTTGAACATGGTGTATAGCTACCCGTGATACCACTAATAATAGACGGCGACAAGGCAGAATTGCAGTTGAAGCCACACATTCCCTGATTGGGTGTTTGCTGCGCAATAGGGCGTGTTCATGTCCTGAAATAGCGTAATACAATTATCTTGTTTTTGGTGAATCCAGGTCAGTAAAACTGAAAGGCCGTGATCATAAGTCGTTAGACAGCAAAGAACTACTAGGTGATAAGGCACTACAGGATCACGTATGACGGACGGGCCAGCAAAGTGCGAAATTCTGCTTACACAAAGGCGGAGTGGGAAACAAATTTGACGACAGACGCTCACTACCCGGAGCGATGAAGATAATCGAGGCGCATCAATGATCTTTAGAAATAAATTTCGTACGGAAGCGCTACGCTTGACGGAGGCAGAGGTATGGCTCTAAGCCTTTGTGTATAAGAAATGCTGTGGGATACAGCGCCAGAACCTGGTACGTCGATATCCAACACCTTTTTCATAAGATATGTGACCCCGGGGATATCATTATTGTCAAGTACATGTAGACGGTGGACCAGCTTGCTTTTATCTTGTGAAGGCTCTACTGTACGAAGCGACTCACGTTCCAGCTACAAGCGAGTGGTATCGGATCCAAGTACGCACCGCATTAGCGGTAATTACACCACAGAATACATACTGAACAGATGTATGACATCACAAAATCACGACTAAAGTTACTGTCGGTGATTGCGGGCGCGTTATGGTTAATGATTGCAGACGTTACGACGGTAGCCGTTAGGCTAAGAAACATTAAAATCTAGAAGAGTGAGCCTTATACATAAGAGAGTGAGCGGCTCAGAGGTAGCATGTTGCATTGCAACTAAGAAATAAAAGTACATTTACTTCACATATTGCGTTCTACATCACAATAGTCAACAGAGGGGCTTTGATATTGCGGTGGTCATATTCTTCGATCGTAGCAACAGTACCTCGCGCTTATGGCCCTAATTTTAAGCGACTTCGCGCAATAATGGGTACTACCACGCACTGACTCTGACAGCTAGACGTTCAAGATGTGGGTGGTCCGAAGCGACAAATTTCGCCGGAGTTTGAGCCGCGAAGTAAGGCGTATCGATTGCGTCTGATGCTCTTGTGCACCGGTCAGGTGCGGTGATAATTGATTACTATGTCTAGAGGAAAAATTCCATCGTTGCAATGACGTATGGTTCTTTCAGGATATGCTTTCGTGTATCATCCTCATTGAGTGTAAATAAGCAGATGTGGCGCGGACCAAGAATTTTCATTACACCCCTATCACTCTCAAGAAATCTGTTAGCATCACGTTTGGTGCAAAGTGCACCTTCTGTGCCGCAGCGGTATATCGAGGTGCTGGGAGTGAAAGCACTGCGGGCGCGCCAAAGTCGATAAACCTTAGCCACGATATAAAAATTTGTGACTTATTTTAGCTGATTGGCTCACCTCTGTAATCGCATTTGCTTCACCTCCGGTAGCTTAGAATATATGTGCTTCGCGCACCCTCTTCGCGTTTGGCGGGGAGGCACGAAGAGTTAAGCTGCCACACAAGGGTGTATGGCGACTCTTTTAAAAAGAAAAGGTCGAGAGGAGTAGGTGCAGGGTAGTTTATTATTTTCTAAAATTATGTGGAGGTCGTAGTCAAATGGACCCAGTCAAAAAAGAATTGACCATACGTAAAAGAGATGAAGAGACAAGCCTCACAGCCGAGGTAATTAGCTGTCGTAATTTAAGTCCCAGGCTCTGTGAAACCGTCAAAAATTCTGATTGGATCAAGAGAGTCGTGCATTTACGCACGGCGCGACGGACCAAAAAGTAGACAGTACGCGGAGACATTAGAGGTGCTGCATACGGATACGATATTCGTGTGTATACGACAGGAACATTGGTAAAAGTGTCTAAGGTTGTGTTGATCCATCAAGTGAATTTTGAGAAGTATAACGGCCGGTAACGTTGCCCTTTTCCGACCCTATTTAGATTTGGCGTGGCTGGAACGCGACAAGTTTTGGGTCAACAAGAAGTTAAAATGGTGCGCAGATGAGGTGAGTCAAAACTTGCCTCCGACAGAAAGTAAAAGCGTTTTTGGGTCGAGGTCGAAGCTGCGATGGCTATTCAAAATAAATAAGATTGTTAAGTGTCTCGATCTGATCTCGGAAAGCAGAAGCGGCAGTGCGCTGTGGTCTTAGAATAAGCCAAAAAGCGCGGTTGTGTATTGCTGTCTTCAAAGTACATATGTGCTGAAACGGGAAAGGGAGACGGTAGGCAGGGGCCCCCATAGCCTATTTTCGGTGGGCCGGCGAAGAGCTATGTATTTTGTGCTAGGGCTGGTGGAGTTAAAGGAATACTGTATGTCTTGGGCGGACGGGCCGAGCCTGAAAAAATTAGAAAGATTGTGCGTCCTTGTCACGATTTGACAGTACATCTGAATCAGCGATATCATGTGATGGATGCATCATGCGGAGCACCAAAGCCCCACAGGTAAGCGTTGAGACGGTTTTTTACTCGTGAATTGACTGATTCGGGTAGTCCTACGTGTTGTTAGTCCCACCGGGGTGCATTGAAACTGCCAAAGGAGCTCGGGCTAAATGAGAGCAGAACCGACGATCAAATTCAGCTTAAACCTGGTTACACTTTGTCGCGAAATCAACTAATTTTATCTCATAAAAATGAGCATCATACATAGGGTGCGTGACGTTATAGCTGGAGCCACTTAAGCAGAAAAAACACGCCAATGCGGGAGGCAGGCGAATCATACACTAATATGATCCGGGAGAAGTTTTACTAATGCAACCTAACTACTGTTTTATATAGCGTCTGTGATCAATACAACATATTACGACCGCGCTGAACTGGATCGTTCTTGGTCGTACACAATAGGCGTTAAGTTGTCTTCCGAAATTCCCAAAGAAAATGTTTTCAAATTTAGTGGCATAAGGGGGTGTACTGTAGCCATACATATCCTGCCCTTAGAGCCAGTCTAATGTGAACAGATATATTGCAAACAAAGCAGCATCTTTTCCATCCTCTGTTGCTGTGCTTGAAGCAGCGACACATCTGCGAACCGTGTTTTGGTCTCATTATCCGGGTAGGCTGATGGCGATGCTAAAAGAGCAAATCCGAGTGTGGAATCATCTTGCCAGATGCACGCCTTGTCCTTCTTCACAGAAATTGGATGTGCTACAACATCTTGGAAATTGAAGTTCTTCCCCGGTTCTGTTGCCGTTTCCAATGTGGTGCACCCTCGGTCTTTAGCTCCCATAAAAGCAAGGTAGGACCGCCTAACATGTCGCACTTTCCACTTTTGAGAGGTCTCTGACATGATGATAAATAAGGCCGTTGATCTGTACCTTCTATAGCTTCGCGTCGTGCTTTACACTTTAAATACAAAAGACGATCTAGGCGGACGTTTACTTTGTTAAAGCTGGTATATGCAGTCGTAAGACGAGAAGGGCGTGGTTTTTCTCACCTAGTACACGCAATGAGCTCAAAATTTGCGACGCTTTGCCAGCTTTTGAAACACAAAGCACATTCCCCATGAGAGATGCGGGTTTCTCAAGCCGATGCTGTCCCAAGAGTAGATGGTAGCATCATTCGTTGGTTCAGTAAGCGCTAATGAGCCAACTCCCTCCCGCTTTTTTGCTCTTGGTGTGAGCGAAAGGCCCACACACCTATACGTGTCAGCCTTCAGCCTTCCACTTGGCGGAACTTTAGAAACTCTTGTGCTTTGAACAGATCAAGATAGGCATTGAAAGACAGTTCCTAGTATTCGGTCACGAGCTAAACATCTTCAGCACGGCATCAAAACACTTTCTGCTGACGGAGAAGGGCACATACTCCACGACTCGTGAAGCAGAGAGGCTAAGAAAACTGGATGTCTTCTACTTGTAGAACGGCTCACCGTGTATCGGTGAATGGGGCGAAGTTTTGGGCCGGAGCTCGGTCTAAGTGGGATCGTTTTCACTGAAAAACACTTGGTATCGTCAACGAGGAATTGCGTAAGCCCGCCGATCGAGAGACCGCACTTGAAACAGGGACTTATGACCCATCTAGTTAGATACACGACAGTACATCCTCGGTGCGAACACGCCCAAATAAAAACGAGCGGCACATTGTAAAAAATGGGACATTTGGTGCAGTGATTGACCAAAGGAAATTCGATTTGCGCGAGGTCATTGAAAGTCAGGAACTAATTTCCATGTTGTTAACATCTCACTGGGGTTGATGTAATGGGGGTTACACGTACCCTGGTAGCAGGGGTGTGTGTCACACGAGATGTGCATGGTATGACTTAATCCAAACAAGAATACGGTACGGGGCTAAGTAGCCAGTATTCTGCATGTATTTAGATTTTACTATATGTTTAGCATATTTAGAAGAATCTAAACTTTCAAAACAAAAATAATAAATACATAAAAATCAGTTCTGGACTTAAACGGAAAAGCTAATTAGCCTTGGATAAGGCAATAATTACTCTTGAAGTAATCGGATTGCGATCCGCTGACTCGTACTTGTTCTGAGAATAGAACGAAAGGTCGGTGACCTAAATTACGCTTCCTCAATCGCATAGTTACGGCAGCCCCGCTGCACTTGTTAGCTCTTGTTGTCAATCTACACCTGAGTCGTTTAGACTGATTATTTGTGAGGATGGAA